AAACAACGTCCTCCACAACTAGACTGAAGAACAAAAGGACAGCAACTTGTCTGTTCCCCTTCCCCCAATTCCCCAATAAAAATCTTTAAAAAAATAAATGAACCATCAACACAGGTACCTGATAGATACACTGACCCCTGTACCACCTGTCTCTCTCTGGGCTGTTTTTTTTGTTTTGTTTTGTTTTATGCAACCCCTTCCCCCCCACACACAAAGCCATCTGAAAATGGGAATCCCCAAGGACCAGTTACTAAGAAACAAATTACTTTTAAAATCCCTACACATTTGTCCAAAGCTGCTGAAAGCTTCAGGTCACTCTAAAAGCAGTTAATAACATCTTTCTTAAAAGCTAACATTAGAAAATTGACTTTTGTTAATGTACTATGTTATTGGAAACTTTTTTTTCTCACTAGAAACATGGTTTTAAAAACTCACCATAATAGAATAGCAAGCAATACGATTTATAAGTAGTTTTTCAATGATTTCTTTATGGATTAAAATTTCTTCAGACTTTGCATAATCAGCTATATTCAAAGCTTCCGTGTACTGGCTTATTGAGCTGTTCCAATCACATTCCCGGTATACATCATTTCCTTCATTAAAAAGATTTCTCACAAGAGCACGTAAATATACCTAAAAAAAAAAAAAGAGTTACCACTTGAGACCCTTTAAAGAAAAAGTTAGGGTATAAGTAAATTTTAATTTTTGTACCTTAAACTTCAGAGGAATTAATTTGACAGAGCAAACAAGCACTGTTGTAAGAAACTGTGAAACCCAGGCCAAGTCACTGCTATCCCAGCTAGGATTTTATCTTGCTTGCTTTTTCAAGAGAAAAGTCAACTTTTCATTATTAAGAAAAATGCAGCAAAAGCACCTTGTAAATACTTGTCCATGTCTCCAACTCTGTGCCTGGGATAAATTCCTACAAGTGGAAACTCCAGGTCAAACAGAATGAGAATTTTAAGGCTTCTGACTAATATTTCTGAATTACTTTCAAACAGGCAAGAACAACACATACTTCTAGTGGTGTCCTTCACAGCACCCCCACCAACACCGAGTGGCACGTGTACATCTGTGTGTCCGAACATAAAATCTCTACCAGTTTCTAGGTGCAAAACGGTATCCTTTTTTATTTGCATGTCTTTGATTTAAAGTGAAGTTGAGCCTTCTCAAGTTTTTATGGACCATTTGTATTTCTTCTTTTATAAGCTATTTATTTGCTCTGGTCATTGACTGATTTAGGGGGAGGGAGATGTTGAAACGTTTTCTTATCGTGCAAGTATACACATTCTTTTGGTGTGTACAAAGTTTTTAAGATTCCTTCATGATTTCTATCATTGCTTTAATATTTCAGAAGTCCTTTCTTAGCACAAGATCAGATAACTATTCAAGTCTTCTGTCTCGTTTTGTGAATTTGGGTCTAAGCTAAGTAAAGTGGTAACGAAAACTGACAGATCAACCTTTAACAACTGAGGTGACTTGTGACATGTCACTTAACCTCTCCGGGCCTCAACTGCAATTGTAAATGTAAGGATTGTAAGATGAATCATAAAGTGAATGGATTGTTCTAGGTGATTTCAGCCATAATACTTTATGATTCTACATCTATTTGGAGAGAGGGAAGGAAGAGGGAAGGAGAGAGAGACTGAAATAAAGGAGAGGGAGGGAGAGGTAGAGAGAAAGAAGTGACAATGGGAAGCATCAAAACCCTCAGAGCCACAAAGCCACAGGTGAACTAATAATAGTCCATAGAGATGCAGCCAAGACCCGGTGGCCTGGGCTTTCTCTCCAATACGTACATCACTGGCTCTTCTTATTATTCAGTCACCCTTTACTACTGTTAGAGCTTCTCTTCTCTTAAATAAAAATAGCATTTACACTACACTCCTTTTCTCAACATATTCTGTCCCACTTACTTTTGATGAAATGAGAGGTAGGCTAGAAGTAATTTTCAAAGTCCTCAAAAGATAAATTAATTCAAAACTATACTAATAGAGGAAAGAAAATATAGGACTAGTATCCAAGAATGAGAAAAAAATAAAAACAAACAAAAACCCAAAGTTGTTGACCTATATATAAGGGTCAGCACACCTTTTCTGTAAGTGCCCAGATAATAAATAGGCTTTGTGGGCCATATGGCCTCTGTCCCAACTACCATACGTTGTGCAAGCAGCCATAGATAATACATAAACAAACAGGTATGGCTGTGTGCCAATAAAACTTTATTTATAAAAGCAGACACGGGGCCGGATTTGGCCAACAAGGCTGTCTTTTGCCGACCCTTACTACATATTATAATTCACAAGCTACGGAAGAGCGTTCAAGCAGACCTTCCCAGAGTCATTACCGCATATTGTTCCTGTGTTCCTGGATACGACAGCGGTGACCTAAGAAGAAGAAACGAATGAATTTTAATTATCAGGCTCTTATCAGGGTTTGTTCATCCAGAAGACATCTCGAAAATGAGGTGCCATTAGCTTGCCAATGGTTCAAAGCACATTTGGAAGACCTGCTGCTCCTTCATCACCATTATTCGCGTGTAACTATGGCAACCGAAAAATAAAAATAAAAAAATAAAAAAATCTAAAACTATTTCTTGATACTATCTTAAGTACATTTTCTTTCCAAATCTACTTCTAAAAAAAGGCCTAATTCCTCACATGCCAAGAAAGTTTAAAAATAGTACAGAAGCAGTAATGCTATTTGATCCAGTTTACTGTATGTAGTTTAAGGAGAAGGCTGTCTCCTCCCCAGAAAGGACCGCGAGGGCTGCTTCCGCCTGGACACGTGGACCCAAGCCACAGCCGTCTCATCACGGACATGCCTCACGAGGGTCAGTTAGAGCCTGAGCTTCTCAACAGAAATGTCTGATCACAAAAGCCTTGTGTCCACAGCTGTTCATTTTCATTCATCAGAACTGTTCTTATGCAATTAGGTTCAAATTCCTCAGCCTAACATTTTCAGGGATACTCAACAATTTTGGCCCTAAAAACTACTGACAGTCCACTTCAGGACACAAAGATATCAAATGTACAAGAACAAAAAAAACACTGCTGGAACGAAAATATCTCATTTCTAACCCGAATGAACAGGATGCATGATACATGGGTACAGATGTCTTAACCTCTGGAAATGTTCAGCTATGTAAAAAAGAAGGACCAGGGGACAAGCACACAGGCACGAATTAAGCACTTACTGTATAAACTGCAGTCCTTCCTTGATACTCTGCTGCCTTTTTCTTCTCTCCTCGGACACACTGGACATGTTACCCCGCACATCCACTTTCTACGTGAGCAATCTGGAAAGAAAAAAGGCACAAAATCACACCAGGCAACAGGGCTCCCGGACCCCAACTGCAACACCCATAATTTGAGGTCATGCCACACAATTCGCTGTGGACATGTCCATCTCTGCCGACCTGACTCTACGGTCGTCGATGCCAAGCACCCCGAGTTATCTGTGTGGTCCCCATTGTCTAGGTCACAGAGCGTAAGGTTTTCACCCATCCTTCTTTAGGTTAAACAGTCATGCAGATTTTGAAGGCTCCTCCTAAATCATCTCCGTGAAAGAGTCATTGCTCTCCTCCCCTCGTCCCTCTGTCAAGCTACAGCTTCTGTCCCTCCCCTTCCTGGACGCATGTGCGCTGCCACTGGAACAGTCGCGGCCTTGTTTGGCTTCTGGAAGCTCTCCAGGAGTGAGCAGCTTTCACATCCGCTTGCCTCCAAGGGAGTCTGACTTCCTCAGGGGCAGACTCTAAACTTTATACTTGTTTGGTCCTACAGACTTCTGAAATAATCCTTGTAAAGAGTACAGCTAGAATAAATCAAGTTACTTTAATTGGAATTTTCTGGAAGGTAAGGGTCTATCTTCCATGTAACACTGGCAAATGTCAACGTATGTCTCTGCCGTTAGCATCTACACCCCCACCCCCCACCCC